TTTAATATTTGGCTGAACACTTTGGAGAACAGTTCATTGGCACCTCACCAACTTACCCTCTGGATGGACCAAATCAACCCAATTGGCGTGTGGACATCAGTCCACCACCGTCAACGGAGTTCTAGTGTGTCATTTCCTTGCTCCAGTGCAATAAACTACCAGATCCGGAGGTTTGCATCCTATGCACCTCAAGGAAGGTTGTGAGTACTTCCTGGCTGTCCTGACCAGTTTACTCCAAAGTATCTGGAGTGAAGAGAGAATACCGACAGAGTGCGGTACCTCGACGATGGTTCCTACTTTTACAAAGGGTGCAAGAATGTCGTGCGAAAACCACGCGGGCATCGGACTGTTGGTCATACTTTCCAAGGTGCCCTCCGGTATTACCCTACGAGGGTTGATCTGTTATCAGGAAAATCAGATTTTTGGCCCGGGGTTGCATCGATAACATCTTTTTGACAAATGCTGGAACTGAACTGCTCCTTCCGATGGCCAACAATGGTCGTTCTTCTCGATCTCAGGTCTGTTTTTGACTCCGTTTGTCTTCAGAAACTGTGGCAGTGTCCGGCGATGAAGGATGTCCCTTCTGAACTTTTGTCTCTTACGGATTCTCTGTATGCCTCCTCCCGTGAACGCATGTGTCTGCGGCAAATCCTCTCCTGAGTTCGCCACATCCAAGGGTATCTTATGCCCCCCCCCCCCTCTTTAACTTCTCAATCGCTGTTCTGTCTGAGTTTTTTTTACCTGCCTCCGACACATGGGGGATTCAAATAATCTCGGGACTTTAGCTCGTGTATCTTAAGCACGCCCATGATATTGCACCCGCCTTGGATCAGATCCTTTGGAAATGCAAACTATTTTAAACAATTCAGGTACTTCTGCACGGTCTCGTATGCACCTGTAAGTTGCTGCTGCAAGTGTGGGTGGGATCAAACACAAACCTAATGCTTGCAGATGAATCATCTGATGTAATAGATAAGTTCGTCTACTCGGGCGGCTACAGAATCGCTGGCAGACCGATGAAAGACGAGACCATCCCTCGAGTGCTGTTCTGTCTGAGTTTTTTTTACCTGCCTCCGACACATGGGGGATTCAAATAATCTCGGGACTTTAGCTCGTGTATCTTAAGCACGCCCATGATATTGCACCCGCCTTGGATCAGATCCTTTGGAAATGCAAACTATTTTAAACAATTCAGGTACTTCTGCACGGTCTCGTATGCACCTGTAAGTTGCTGCTGCAAGTGTGGGTGGGATCAAACACAAACCTAATGCTTGCAGATGAATCATCTGATGTAATAGATAAGTTCGTCTACTCGGGCGGCTACAGAATCGCTGGCAGACCGATGAAAGACGAGACCATCCCTCGAGTTGGGATGGCTAGGGCATCGTTTGCTGGCCTCCTAATGGACAGGAAGACTGTTCAACTTATTTTTCCACGTGAAATTATCCAGAGCCACTAACACGAACCCACTCACGCGAGACCAAACACAAATTTCGCTTTTAGGAATACTTTATTCCATGCCAATGTTTCACATACTTTCACAAACTTTAAATGTACCCCAGAATGTTTAAGCTCGTACGAGTTTCGTCTCTTGTACGGACTTGAAGTTCACCATAACGCTGGTGGGCTTTGATGTGACACAATCTTTTCGCTTGGCTACCTCCCGTAATCCTGTGCTAGCTGCTTTATTTGCTCACTTTACCTTCCTGTATTCCCATACGTTCCAGCCATTTAAAAGTGGGCGCTCCAAAAGTTGTCCAATATATTTGTTGGATTATTAGCTGAAGCGGTGTTGAATGAAACTGGTCTCTTATATTCGTCTTTTGCGCCCGAAGCTAATGGGGGCAAAACATCAACACACATACGGCGTAGGTTGTGTGATCGTCACCTCATACTTTCAGGATGCTATTCATGAATTGAATTCAGCCGTAAATCGTGTAATTATCGATACCACTTCAAGCCCGAAGGCTCTGTACGAAGAACGATGTCAACGTTTATGGCCCTTTCTGACAGCAATAGGAGTGACGGTATGCTTCGTCCGATCACATTTTTCCAGTCGCATACAGAATCAGCACTTAAAGCACTTTCACATTATTCACGTAGCTGGTTCAAAAGGTAAAGGAAGCACTTGCGCAATTATGGAGTCTATTCTTCGCAGTTCCGGCTACCGAACAGGATTCCTGAGGTAACTGTCTTTTTGTTTAATGTTGCTTCGATTCATATTGGAGAAGCGCTTTTTGGCGTGTCGCATGTTTTTTCGTTCGCATTGACATGTAGGTTTCATTATGTGAGCATAGATTGATAGACGTCTGCTTTTGGTCCCCGCGTATCCAGTTTTCGTCACTCTCCTTGTCTATATTGTAACGGTCAAGGCAAACAGGGCCTGCCTACTCATTGGATAGAGCGAAAACTCGGAAACTGCAATCATGTGGCTGGTTTCGTGGGTACTGTCTGTTATCTAATCGATGATAATTTGATGCTCGATGCATGTGGGGGTTTTGCGGGAGGTGTATTGTTCAGTTTCACATCACTTTTGCTTTGAACAGTCATCCTCCTGCCCTGGCGCAATTACTCATGTGGATCCACACCAAAGGGGGGAGCACTGGACTCGAGTTTCACTCTTGTTAGAGCTCATCAGCAGTGCATATCCAATGGCCGTGCCGGGGTTTGAACTCCGGACACCTGACATGCAAGGCGAATGTGTTATTACTATTCGAAATTTTTAATGTCTTAGCAGAAGTAACTCACATGCGGTAGGCGAGCTAATAGCATTCGTGAATTCCTGACGAATTGACCACATGGTATGATTGCCATCAAGCTGAATTCTTCCAAGAACGCTTTTCATCTTGCTTTGTGCTTGGGTAGAAACTTCGTTCAAGAGTTCCAGGTTTCGATGTAGAAAAGAATCATAACGCATACGAATCGTTACTTGTCCGATTCGTGAATTGTGATCTTAAGAAGGAATACAACTGAGAACTAGTAGAATAGCCGGATTACATTTGTTGCAAGAGGTCAACTTTTCACTTGTCTTCGTCAATTACAAAAACGAAACGTTATAAATTATTAAGTGATAAAAACGTAACAAACATATAACACATAGACACAGTCAGAACAGAGGGTGCATCGGGCAACGTTAGTTTCAGGGAAGTCAGAGGGCCTGAGTCAGTAGCTCACGCGCACAGTTTTGGTGAATTTACTCCGAATGATATCGCTTAACAGGAGGCCAAAGTTGTAGCTTTTGTTTGAAAGCATCTGCCGGGTTGATAATCAATGGTCCTCAGTTTCACGTCAACGTTTGGTGTGCTGTTCTACTTCCCACCAACTTTTCGGGACAGTACTCAAAAGTCCTCTGAGGAAGGCGTCGATGCGTTCTACCGACACACCTGTCACCGTAACCACAAGTAAAGTGGTGGCTGACCTAAACGGTCAAATGCTCGTACAATTTCTGAGTCGTAGGCCGAATGATGATCCTTCCTGTAGTCATTGGCGATTACGTTTTGCTGCCTGGATGCATATGTTTTAAGTCAGATGTCAGTTCTTGTGTGGTACCGTCGGACACGTGATCACATTTAAGTACTAGGCGTGACGGTGTTCACTTTCGAGTTGTCCTGATTGCATCGGGATGAGGAGTAGGTTAGCCGTGTGTTGTAATGTTTTGAGTTAATCACTAATCAGAAGCGTTTATTTTAAAAATTCTTCGATTTTCGGTCTGGATTGTGCGAAATGATGTCTTCACCAGCCCTCGCTTACAACATTCCGAGAAGAGTATACTGCAGAGCAGGTACTTGCCGCCTCGGCTATTTTTACGGTTCTGAAATGTCAAGCAGACACCACGCCATCAACGCTTCTACGGGTCTCTTCTCGCAAAATACACTTGATGTGAATACTACTCCAACCATAAGAAAATAAACTGAGTTCTTGATCAGCAGTACATATCAAGCCAGCTTATCGGTTGAAAAAAGACACGGAAAATGTCTCATTTTTCACACTTTATAAAGAGGGTTCCGCCAAAGTTGGGCGTGATGGGCTGCGGTACTCTGAAACACAAAAACTGTCTTTGGTGCAGACTAAAATGAAGTTGTGGGGTATCAGAACAAAAATGTTCGAGGGATGCTGTGAGTGGTGATTCAATCGCAAAATAACCGACTGTCTCTCCCAGAGGAAATTCGGGATGTATAGAGACTGGATGAAGAAAACTTTCGTGAACTCACCAATTGTCTATCAAAATCCGAAGAAGCCTTTCGTAATGCGGGGAGTTAGAAAATCCCCAATGAGTGAGAATATCCACGGGCCATCCGGTGAGGTTTTAGTGGACTGAGTTGTGCACGTTGGCTGTCTGTGGAGCTCTGACCAACCTAATTTAGTTGTGTATTGGTCCTAATGGGGATGAACTGTTCTGTCTGAGTGTCATGTGGTCCAAATGTTTCAATTGTTGAAAGTCATTACGAAAAGTTTGAATACTGTCAGTGCAATTCGCCTTTCAGGATGGGCCCCCGCGCTGCAAGATCTGGCTGCTAGTCTTTCGATGGCGTTCTTATGATCAGTTCCCAACCAGAGTGTCTAAAGTGTGCCCGGGTGTCTAGGCATATCAGAATGATTGTGGTAGGCTAGTAATAAGCCCCTTTCCCGTTCACTCTTATTCTTTTCTCAATAGGGCTTTTAAATAAATCGTACGGCAGCCAAGCATCAGTGTTGAACAGTGATGCTGTACTGCTGCTGTTGCTGAAGTCAAGTGTCATATCACCTGTTCCCCAGTCAGAATATATATATAATTCCTATAGGGGAAACCGCGATCAGGCAGCTGTTTGTTGATGGGTCCCATTGAATTTCAGACAGTTGGCTTGGTTTTGTCGTCGCTAGAATAGATCGCTTTTGAATCTTCTGGAAATATCTGCTTCCCTGTTGGAAGGGGCAACGCATTACTGTTTGCCCTCGTTACTCACCAGATTTAATAATGTGTTATAGTATTTTTATCAGCTGAGCTATCTGTTCACCTCTAGCTCTCCGCATCTTGTGAATGTCGAGGAACGAATACGTATTGGTGGAAGACCTGTATCAAAGGAGCAGTTTGCCCAACTATTCTGGGACGTGCATGAATCAGTGAAGCAAGTTGCGGTTAGTTTGATTTTGACTTTCTCTTGTTTTCCTGGGACATATATAGAAGGTATGGTTGTCAGCTTAGGCGGCTAACTTACTGGCTGAGTTGTTCGCTGTGTCTGACAGTTTCGTTTCAGGCGTTTCATCAGTGCTATTTGGTACGTGTAGCTATTTGCATTTAGGTTGGGTCAATTCAGTTTGTATTAAACAAGTGTAGCATGATTCATCGAGCCCAGGTATGATTGAATAGTGCAGTTTTCAGCCGTAGATACACTGATGAGTGTTTGGGATATACTCGTGGTCAGTAGAAATAAATCCACTCAGAGCGAGGTCGCCATGCGTTATTTCAATTGTTCTCTCGGTACTTTGTCTGAGTCGGAGTCATAAATATTTATGATCCCCTCTGAGAGGAGCGTCCTAGTAGGGAGGTGGTCTCTCCTGGGGCCAGCCAACTTTGGGGACCATGCAAATTTTTCTGCGTATACCCGGATTTTCAATAGTAGCATTATGACACACCTAACTCTTGAAGCAATAGACTGACCACCTTGTAATCCTTTCCTCTGAAACAAAGACCCTTATAAAAACTTCTTTTATCAGCAAAAATCACCGTCATAGCATGTAAATTTTCACAATCGGAAGNTTCGTGTTGGAGGGTATCGTCGCGGGGCAACCGGGTAGAATGCCCTACAGCTCTCCATTGGACATATGAACCTGCAGCGCTATCAAAGTCCACCCATCCAAATGTTTTAATCAGTCTGATAAGGGAAGCAAAGCAGTTGGTGAGTTATTGGGAATACACAATCCGAGGTTTTGCGCTAGCTGCGTGAAACGATTTGAACACTGAATGAAAAGAGCGTAGGACTAATAATACGGGTTTTTAGCAACTGCAGTAAGCATTCAGTAAGACTCTTGATGTTCATGCGTATTTGGTTACATGGATAGTAGTAACGCCACCGAACATATTGCTGTTCATACGGAGGTTTCAAAAGGACGTACAGATTGTTGGTGTTTGAACAGTGTGACGATCATATACCGGCCTTATTTACCGCAATCCCTAGTTTAAATGTCTTGTTCTGTGAGAAAAAACGAAGTGGATACCTGAGGCTCTGGTGATATTCTGGTAGTACGTTCGGTGTCTATGAATATCTGAAAAAGTTGAATGCTGTAGATTACATGTTGCCAAAGTCGTCAGGATGATAATCGCTCTATACTACCGGAAAGACACCTGCTGCGTCTGAAAAGTGTGCTGACTGTAACGGAAAGTCTGCTACACTAATTTTCTTCTGATATATATATA